TAGTTAATAAGGGCGTGACAGTCTTTTTAGGTAGTACTAATCGCATAACAAAAAGATGTAATCGAGACTGTCCGAATTAAGAAAAAAAGTTAGGGACCAAACTCATAGATTACCCTAAACCATAAGGGCTATTCGTGTGTATATATGTGTGTGAAAAAGTTGAAATATCAATATATTAATAAGCATTGAAAGTAATTTTTTAAAAATAAAGAAGGATATAAATTGAAAATATGTTTTAACTATAAGGCGTAAAAATGTAGAAGTGTTAAATAATTTTTAATCTTTGATAATATATTATAAAATAAAATATAAAAAGAATGTTGTGGGATAATGTTAACCGGAAACGTCATCTCAATTTGGGTGGGTTTTATGTATGGTGGTTTTGACTTTAATTAATAAGATGGTTTTGACCCAATTTTTGGGTGTGTTTAACAACACCCGTCCTGCGGTTGGGAATGTGTATCAAGTGTTTTGGTGACGACAAGAAGTATAGAGTGCAACTCCTGTGGTTCAAAGAAGTGAAGATAGGAAGCTCTGGAGACCTTAGGGCGTTTTGAGCCAATTAGATCCTCTTAGGATTTAGCTGGGGTTGAGTCTCCATTATCATATGGGAATTCTAGGTCCGTAAGGATCAACAAACCAAACAACAACATCATAAGGAGCAGGAAATTCAAACAGTTGCTAAATACTGGGTGGATGTGATCAATAATGCCAACACTTTTGCCAACATCCTCAAAGTTCAAGTCTGGATGACCACCATGGCCGAAACAATCCAGAAAGCTCAGGATCTTCAAGGTGGTGCGGGACCTTCCAAGCCTCCTCCAACTACCGAAATCCATGAATCCAATGAAGATGGTATAGCAATTGAAGTTAGCTCCGGACCAACCTTTGGTCTGGATGATCTGGATATGACTGAAGTTAATCAACCAACTCAATCGGATGACTTTATGATGGTGTTTGATGAAGAAGATTCCAACGGTTCTTAGCACTCCACTTCCAAGCCAAAAGAGAAGAAGAAAAAGAAGAAAATGGTTGTCACTCGCAAGGAATTTTTGAGTCTTCAGGAGAAAGTTGATAAGATCTTAGTCGCGGTTACAACCCCACAACAAATGGAAGCTGCTGGTCCGCAGTTTATTGCTGAGAGACTTGAACTTTTTGAGACAAGGGAACGTCTGGCCGCTAAAAGGATGTCGCTCAAAGTTGAAATGGGTATTCGAGCCCTAGATAACACCAAAACCGAAGACCATAAAGAGTTTCTAGCAACTGCTGAACGTCTCATTTAGGAAGTCACCGCAATCAAAATTGAGCTACAATCTTCGATTGCTGATTAAGTTGTTCAATCCAAGAAGCTTGTTGAGGAAATTCACAATGCTTACGAATAACCATTGCAGTGCTTCAGTCCACAATCAATCACCTCCGACGTTCCTTGACCGCAAGCTTTCATGGTCAATAAATTATGAAACTCACAAAAGATATCCATCAACTATTGTTCGACACAAAGATCCCCGACAATCAGCAACTATCTGATCTTCTCAAGTCCCAATTCAATAATTTTTTCACTAAGATTGATGGCCTCCGTCAATGGTTTGAGGAGCAACAAGTTACTTCCTCAAAAGGGGGAAGTGAACATTCAGAACCGCAACTCCATCAATCCCAATAAGCAATCCCTACTCCAAACTTCGGTCCATCTCATTTTGCATCAGTTCTGCCAAGGTTCGAGACTCATCAATCTCCAATCTTGACTTTTCTTTAAGCAAAATCTCCCACTTTGGTGCCATCTCCTCCAAGATCTCATCCGCAACAACAACAGATTCAGGCTGAACAACATGATTCTCCTGATCAAGAAACACCCCCCCCCCCCCTTCAATTTCGACAACTAGTGCCAACCATGTCATCAGAACATTCCAACAACTCTCCCGCAACAAAACAAAGAAAAATTGACTGGAAAGCAGCCAAGTTTGCGGAGATGATATGGAGAGAACATGGGTTCGACACCACCATGGATGAAACCCTAATAAACTCATGGGTTAATCTAACCCGCAGGCTTCTCGATGAAGACTACAGGCTGGTGTTACCATATGTTGAACCTCCTGAATACGGTTACTGGGATATTCCCATCTCTCCAAATGTCATGTTCTTCACAGTTTTTGAACCCTTCGACCAAAGCCTCCCTGATGATCAAAGGCTTCCTCTGGAATTCGAACGTCTTAACAAGTTTCATGGAAATCATGGATCTAAATTCGAGGATATATGGTCAAGTGATAGGCCTTTCGGAGTCAAGAACTACAAGATCCAAAAGTTCATGAAATCTAAGTTCATTCAGTATACTCTGACAAGAAGAGGTTGTGATTATGCCAGAACTCAGGTTGACTTTCCATGTATGAATCCAGAAGAGGTGTTCTTAATCGCAAGGGTGTTTCAATTCAAGTCGGAGAAACACTCCAAAATGAAGATAGCTTATGAAAAAGCTTGTGAGTACCTGATATGCGTAGTGTGCGACTTTGCCAAGATAGAAGCTGATATCCATTCGGCCTTTGTTCATAAATTCAACCTTCCTCCGCTTGATCCCGCACTCGTTTATATTGAAGGATATCAAGAACGATCCTTGGGTGCAACTAACTTTCCAGAACTAAGAATTGTGTTCAAAAGAGTTAACAACGATGTTAAGTACTTTGTTCCCATCACTGCTATGCACCGCCTAACCTGAAGGCAACTGGAAGTCACTCTGACTTCGGTGCAGAGATCAAAGCACACAACTGACGAAGTCAAATTCGAGATCACACGAAGGATCAAATGGTTGGGTGAAGTTAGAAAATTTTGGTGGTTGTTGATCAAGTTTTTGAAACTCAACAAATGAGAAGGTTAAAGAGGTCATATAGGGGGAAATTGTTGAATCAAGAAAGTGACCCTCTTGAACCTTAATCCGAAGTCCCCCTCACTACCGCAATGTTGCTTCTGCCACTGCAACGAGAAAGGTCGATGCCATCCGCAACCTTCATATCCGGAACAAAGACTTAGTGTTTTTTTAACTTATGTATTTACTATCTATTGTCCAGTGTGCCTTGCATGGACACTTCTTTATAATCTTTGTTTATTCTCCTGTAATGTTATCGGAACTCTATAAATAGAGTCTTCCGCCTCAACTGCAATACACATCTCTCTTACATCTTATATCTTACATATTCTCTCATTACTCTCTTATTCTCAAGATCTTACAGAACCTAAATTCTAATCTTAAGATCGTAATCTCTCCTTCAGAGCAAGTCACTCTTGACTTAATCACTTTAAGTTGATCACACTTACTAACTTGGTTTGAATGCAATCATTGTTAAGAATCAGCTAAGTGTTTACTTGATATAACACTTGTTGTTATTTATAGTTCCTTACATTTTCGTATTTACATTTCCGCATCTAATTATCTAACTTTCTAACTCTAACTTCTTATTATTGTTGAGCTTTATGATCCTTTGAGTTAAACTTATTCCACATTATAACTTGTTCTAACGTTTGTTCAAGTGTGCTTCTCAAAAGTTTTTCTCTCAACAGTTTCATCATTAATCTTAAAGATAATCTTTCAAAGTTTCAATCTAAATTTGATGAAGGATGTTTTTTAAGATATTCTCACAATTCTGTTTCTTACAATGTACTAAATCGGAGGACACAAAGGATTGAAGAGACATACAATCTCACTTTTATGATCATTATGTCTAGTAATATGAATTCAATGTTTCTCAACCCAAAAAATTTCTTGAACCCCTTGTTGAAACCAAACTCATGATTTCTTTTGATACCAATTTTGACTTATTTTTTGGTTATCAAGTGACGGCTATCACTTCTAAACTTCAAGCTCTAGACAGCAATGCGGATGAAATCCTAAAGCATATCAAAATTATCATGAAACCACTTATCTTATTTATTATAAAATGACCATCTTTTGAATATCTATGGTAAAATAGAAACCTATTTTATAAATTGGAGTTTAGAAATTTTATTAATTTATGAATTTATTTTTTTAGTATTAGATATTGCAAAAAGTAATGTCGTTTCATAAATGGGAAATGACACAAATGCCCTTCGAACTTTCTAGGGTTGGTCCATTTAGTCACTAAACTATTTTTGTGGCTTTATGAATGAACAAAGTCATTTTTGTCTGGTGGATTACATCTTTTTAGATAAAATGAAGGGGTCATATGGTTACCCCTTTGCCACATATACATTTGTTGACTAATTTTCCCTTAACTCACATTGACTTTGAATGTACAATCCCATGAAGCATCTGATAAGCCCAATACTATTCACCTTCTTCCTCACCCTAAATACACCTTATAACTCCATAACCAACCCACCACTCATAATCGGTTCATCACCTTCACCATCGGAAAACCTCCGCTAAAACCTCACCTATTTCTATCGAAACCCACTTAAAAACTTGAGGTATAATTGCTAATTTTTCTCAATCGTTATCTGATACACATCCTCAGATTTTTCTGGTTGAAAGACCTTTTACTATTCGATAAACAAGAAAAATATAGCGGCTTCTCTCAATCATCGTCAGTTCTCTCTTCATTTTTCTAATCGGTAACGTGATTGTGTTAACTCTTGTTGTAAAATATGGTCATCTTACTGAAGCTAGTAACTTTGTGGATAATGTCGGAACTAATGTGCATGCAGATATTGTTAATAATGTAAGTGACGATGCTCCTCCTGTTCTCAAACACGAAGAAATCGTTTATCGGGATAAATGAATCATATCTGAAGTAAACTTCAAACTGATCACTAGCGAAATCAAAGTTAGTGAATCGTCGGAGAATTCTATTCCAGATCTAGATCTGAAAATCTACCAAAGAAGCTAGTATGAAAACCTAATGAAGAGAGCCTTTTCTGGAGAGTGGAATACTTAACGTTAACGAGAAGTTGTAGTGGTCGGAGACAGAGATAGGATGGCAGAAAGTTGGTTCTCTGGTGGAGAACGTCGTCAGCGATAATGATGGTTAGAGTTGATGACCACGTTGCTTCTCCAAGAAGTAGATCCAGATTCGATTGCATCAAGGCTAAAGGCGGTGGATGGGAGACATAGTGGAGGCGTCAAACAACGATGTTGTGAAGTCGACGATGAAGGAGGCTCCAGTGGTGGGTTGGCTCTGGTGGGAAAATAAGAGAGGGGTGGAGAGAGAGAGAGAGAGAGAGAGAGAGAGAGAGAGAGAGAGAAAGAAAGAAAGAGAGGGAGAGGGAGAAAGAGAGAGAGAGAGAGAGAGAGAGAGAGAGAGAGAGAGGAAGATGGTAGTGCATGGTTGTTGTGTTTTAGAAACTAATTGTTCTGGAAAAAGACTCATAAATTGTCCCACAGTTCCAAGTAGATAACCACATATCGATGACATCATGACTGATACGGCAAACATTGTGGATGTGGCAATCAAATTGGTTTAAACAAGTCTAAGTGATTAAATAGACAGGTTGATCATGAGTTCGTTCCCTTATAAAGCTACGAAAATAGTTTAGTTACTAAATTGACCAACTCTACAAAATTCGTAGTATATTTATGTCATTTCCGTTTCATAAAACATTAAAAAATCTTAAACACTTTAACAGCTAGGATAAATGAGATTTTCTAATATGTGTCTAAGAACACATATAAGAAGTATTAATTGAAACATTAATTGTAAGAAATATATCATAATTAATTGTAATAAATATTAATCATAAATAATATTCTTTATAACTGATGTTTTTTACATTTAGTTATAATAATATTACACGTAATTAATGTTTATCACATTTAATTAGAGTAATATTTCTAACCAAATGCTTCAATTAATATGCTTTTAAGACACATTTTAGAAAACCCCTTATTAAATAAACATTTTTCACAAACATATTACAAATTAAATTAATATTAAAAATTAATCAATTTTCCTTCTGATTTCTTTCAAAATCCGTACAACCCTTGAAATTGCTTTTACCTAATTCTAATTCTAAAAGGTTTTGCCGGATCCAGAAATAACAGGAAAAAGGAGTTCCCACCAAAATCAAGTCAGCGTGGTATCGTTAGAATGTCAACAGTGGAATTGCTTAGTGTTCCACCAATTAAATCACAGAGCACACCTTCTCTCTCTATATATACGCACAGATACTTATATCTAAGATTCTAAATCCAAATCTTCTCTCTCTCTCTCTCTCTCTCTCTCTCTCTCTCTCTCATCCGTCCAAACGAAATCAGCCAACGTCCCCTCATGAACACTTGAGCGCATTGTTTACAAATCTCTCCACGTCTTCTTTGGCATGGTTACACATGGATTTGATTATGTTAGTCGTCGTATTGCAAAATTGAATGATGTGGAACATAGATCGGCGAAATTAAAGCATTAGATCGAGTTGCGATATACAGAAATGGAACAGAAGCACATTTTGTTGTCGGCATTGAGCGTGGGTGTAGGTGTAGGTGTTGGTGTAGGGCTCGGGGTAAACAAGTGGAGTAGCGGTGGTTTGGAAGAAGGCCTCACGGCGGCGCAAATTGAACAGGAGCTTCTTCGCCTTATCGTCGACGATAGAGATGATAAGGTCACGTTTAAGGATTTCCCTTATTACATCAGGTGAATATGATTTGTTACTTTGTGTTATCACTTATCACGTTTATTAAGTATTGTTTAGACTTTAGATTCTAATATGTGATGAGAACACTAATCTTTGAGCTGCAATTCAGCACTGTTAATGATCAATAATTAATTTTAGATGTTGATTTATAAAATTTTGAACTCACAGAGTCACAGTTAATTATATCTATCGATTTTTCGAGAGCTTTGGTTTTAAAGTGGTTTGAATAAACGTATGAATTAAAAGTGTGCAATTTGATTGTGAAAGAGAACTGGTAAGCTCGTTTTATATCATTTACTACACTAGTTGATGATCATTTCTATTGTTCATCTACAGCCTGTGAAGAGGAATATTTTTAATTGATTTTGATAACAGATCCATCTCGACAATTTTATGATCTATATTTAGCATCTTCCCTATCAATCATCATCCTCATCTTGAACTTGTAAGCCTGTTATACAGAGTGTGCACTAATAAAAAAGCCTTTTCCAAATAGAAATTATGTTATATTTAATGTCTTTGCCTCTTTTGTTTCACTTCTCTTCTCAACAAAATCTTAATGTATATTAAGCCAACAAGTTTGAAATACCAATGGAACCTTTCTCGATCGAAATGTATAGCAACTTCCCATGAGGGAGGGAGTAGTTCACTTTCCCAGTTATGACTCTCTTTTTGTTTAACTTCAAAATCAAACAAACAAAGTTACAAACCCTTTCGATTAAAGAACCACCAAATGATTTGCAATCAGAAGGTTTGGCAGGTGATACAGGTTGATTTGAAAGTGGTATTATTCTACTTCAAAATACTGATCTTAATTAGCAAAAGTATCCTATTGAATTAGAATTTCATTCTTTATGTAGTTTCTTGACCCAAACTAACTAATTGTCTAATTCACCTCCCTTTTTTTGTTAAAACTCTATACCAGTGAACGAACACGAGCATTATTAACAAGTGCAGCATATGTTCATTTGAAACACTTGGATGTTTCCAAACACACCCGAAATCTTTCACCTGCAAGTAGGGCTATATTGCTCTCAGGGCCTGCAGGTAATTAAGTCACCTATTCCCACATTTCAATATTCTTAACTCTGAACTCATATTCATAACTTAAAAATTTACCATCTTATACTGTTACACATGTTACTTTCTATAGAATTTTACCACCAATATCTTGCAAAGGCTTTGTCACATGAATTTGAAGCAAAGCTGCTAGTGTTAGACATCATAGACTTGTCTGTAAAGGTGATTGATTAACATTTAACATACTACATACTACTAGTAACTTTTTCTTCAAGCTCAAAATTCCATATTTTGTACTAATATTTGGCATTGTTTACTCACAGATGCAAAGCAAGTATGGCACATCTAAGAAAGACTCTGTAAGTACAACATGATTTACTCAAAAGGGTTGCTTTTTATCCTTTTGTTTCAAGATCAAATTGTATTGATTTACTCAAAATGATTATGTTTTAATATAAAGTTTCTTCCTTGTATAGTCTATCAAATGGCGTATCTCTGACATGGCGTTTGATCGGATGTCGAGTTTACTTGGATCATTATCCACAACAAAGGAAAATAATGGAGGTATGAAAAGAATGTATAAATTTTCTTTTTTCTTTTCAGAAAACCAAAATACATATATGTTAATATGTTGCTAATCTTTGAAATATGTCTACTCTATTAGATTCTAAAAAGGTTGTGAGCAGCTACTACCCTTTTGATGAAAGAGTATTTTTACAGGAATTATACAAGGTAACTTCCACTCATTCTTAAAAAAGTGAAGCTCAAAATTTTGTGATAATCACAAAATTGACCAAAATTTTTGCAGATTTTAGTCTCCTTTTCAACAACTGGCATTATTCTCTATATCAAAGATGTAGAGAGGTTTCTACAATCAAAACAAACATACAAACTGTTTGATAAAATGCTAAAGAGACTATCAGGTTCAACATTAGTTCTAGCTTCCAAAATCTTGGATGCAGATAACAAAAAGGACGAAATAAACGAGAAAATTTCTTGTTTATTTCCTTACAATATTGAAATCAAACCACCTGAAGATGAATTTCATCTCATAAACTGGAAAGCACAATTAGAAGAGCAAATGAAGGACATACAGTTTCAAGACAACAAGAATCACATCACTGAGGTTTTAGCAGCAAATGATCTTGAATGTGATGATTTAGGTTTAATTTGTCATGCAGACACAATGTTTATCAGTAATTACATTCAAGAAATTGTGATTTCTGCAATTTCTCATCATTTGATGCTTCATAAAGATCCAGAATACAGAAATGGAAAGCTTGTTATATCATCTACCAGGTAAATTATAAATATTGCTACTAGAAAATAAACTATGAAGAAGCTTTACTTTACTTTTTTTGTTTTTTTTTTTTTTTGTTTTGCAGCTTGTCACATGGATTGAGCATCTTTCAAGAGGGGTATTGTGGTGGGAAAGATACTTTAAAGCTTGAGACAAATGCTGAGTCATCAAAGGTTTGTTTTGTACAATGTACACATCAACACATGACTGAATGATGGATTACTTTGGTATAAAAAAAGAATTTTATAATTGGTGTAGGGACCAGAAAGTGTTGCATCAAAATCTGATAACAAAAATGATGCAGAAAAAGCTCTTCCTCCAAAACCGGTACCTCATGTCTCTTACTATTTTTAAGCCCATGTTTGTTGATGAGAATTGAAAGGGTATATATGTCTTTTACAAATATATACTAAGTCCCTTTTCCCACCTTCCACCTTTTTGGATGATGTAACTTTATTTCCTATTCAAATCAAGCCTAGATCCCAATCTAAGGCTATATTTGTAGTGACCTAATTTGGTTATTTTATTAACTATCAAACCCAACCCAACCCACTCTGAATTCTATTATTTTTAAGATTATAAATAAATAAAAAAGTTAAAATAAAAATTATTTCATTATAAAGCAAAGTTAACCAAACATAAAAACGAGTTAAACATTAATACAAAATTACTAATTTTTGGAAGGGTATGTATAATTATACCAATATTGGTCTCTATTTCCCCCAAAAAAAAAAAATATTAATTTGAGTATACTTTGTCTTTCTACTAAAATAAAGTTTAACTTTTATGTCGACAAGTTGTAATATCTAATCCTTAACACTATAAATTACATATTTTTGGGTAAAAGTTACAATCAAACTTTTTTCATCTCCAACACGTTAAAATTTACACTAAACATATATTTTAATATTATAAAATAAAATAATATTTCTTTATCCAATTAATATTTAAACTTTACAAAAATAGGTCCCCATTAACTGCTATTATATGAATAAAAGGCATATAAAGGGAACCTCCCAACTTAACACTATAAAATATTTTCCAACTTAAATAGCATAACACTAAAATTATATATTAATAAAATAATCTTTCTATACCCAAGTTAGACTAAAAATATAAGTAGTATAAAACAGCGAGTAGTATCCCGCCACGTGTGATGGCAATCTAGTAAAATACTACTAGTACTAAGTTGTTACGTCTGATCCACGTCACCACCACCAGGAAGTTCCCGACAACGAATTCGAAAAGCGGATACGGCCGGAGGTAATCCCAGCGAACGAAATCGGCGTAACATTCGCCGACATCGGAGCTTTAGACGAAATAAAAGAATCACTACAAGAACTGGTGATGCTTCCTCTTCGAAGACCAGATCTATTCAACGGTGGACTTCTGAAACCATGTCGTGGCATCCTTCTGTTTGGGCCACCTGGCACCGGAAAAACCATGCTGGCAAAAGCAATCGCAAATGAAGCCGGAGCAAGTTTCATCAACGTCTCCATGTCCACCATCACTTCCAAATGGTTCGGAGAAGACGAGAAAAACGTTCGCGCGTTGTTCACACTCGCTGCAAAGGTGTCGCCGACGATAATATTTGTTGATGAGGTGGATAGCATGTTAGGGCAACGGACACGTGTCGGGGAACATGAGGGTATGAGGAAAATTAAAAACGAGTTTATGTCGCATTGGGATGGGCTGTTGACTAAAACCGGTGAACGGATTCTCGTTCTTGCCGCCACTAATCGTCCGTTTGACCTTGATGAAGCCATTATTAGACGATTTGAACGCAGGTATATATATATATATATATATATATATATATATATATATTTTTCGATTTTGCCTTGAAACTTGAGTAAATTACAAAAATGGTCCCTTGTATTTTTGGGATGTATAGAATTATGGTGGGTCTACCATCGGTGGAGAACAGAGAAACGATCTTGAAAACTCTGTTAACAAAAGAAAAAGTGGAAGAGTTGGACTTTAAGGAGCTTGCAATCATGACAGAAGGATATAGTGGAAGCGATCTCAAGGTTTGTTCTTTGTTTTTTTTTTATACCAGTAGAATGTATTTATTTATTTATTATTAATTATTAATGATATATGATATGATATAAATTGGCATTAACTACTGAAACAGAATTTGTGTGTAACAGCAGCTTATCGACCCGTAAGAGAGCTAATACAACAAGAGAGACAAAAGGATATTGTAAGTCATTATTTATTTGTTTTTTTTTTTTTTTCTTTTCAATTTAATTTATTTTTATTTGTAAATTTAAAGGACAAGAAGGGAAGTGGAGAAGCGGATGCCAAAGACACGAAAGAAGAAAAGGAAAGTGTTATTACATTGAGACCTCTGAACATGGAAGATATGAGGCAGGCGAAGAATCAAGTAATATAATAGTTTGAAACTGTTTGTGTTTTTTTTTTTTTTTTTTAATTAAAATGTGAAATGTGTAAAATATCCTTTTTTTGGTGACAGGTGGCGGCTAGTTTTGCGGGGGAGGGATGTGTGATGGGGGAGCTGAAACAGTGGAATGAGTTGTATGGGGAAGGAGGGTCAAGAAAGAAAGAGCAGCTAAGTTACTTTCTTTAAAAAAGAATGGAGATGTTATTATTATGTAAATTAGCAATTGGTAATTGTTTAAGTCGTAATTTTTGTTGTAAATTATAAGGTTTGATTATTGGTTTAAGTTAGGGTAAGCTGGGTTGATACTTTTGTTTTATTATCTATAGGGATTTTAGGGTAAATTATAAAGTTGGTCTATGTGTTTTGGTGTTCTTTTATGAATTCGGTCGAGTGTTTTTGTTCCCCATGTATAATAATCATGAGCTTATGTTTCTATTTTAATTAAGAACATATTTATGTTTATGTTGTTTATGTCTGCAAATTTTTACTAGCCGACGAAGAAGGTGGGCATTTGCTGACAAAGAAGAGAAAATTTATGGGGTATTTTCAGTAAATAACCATGAAATTTCGAGTTTCGTAAAATAATCATCAGATCTATAGAGGGGCTCTATGGATCTCTTAATGCCTCTGAGGAACTTAGCACACCTCTGTGAAAATGAGGTGGTAACACTAAAAGACAAATTTTTTTTTGGAGTTTTTAAGGTTCCATAGAGGTGTGTGTGAACACCTTTGCGGATCACTTAACGTCTTTGAAAAATGGGTATGAGTAATTTTTTAAGGAATTTTTTTGGGATTTTTAAGCATTTTACCCATTTCTCAAAGACATTAAATGATCCGCAGAGACACCTTGCGGAACCTTAAAAACCTCAAAAAAAAAATGTTTTTTAGTGTTGTCATCTCATTTCCACAGAGGTGTGCTAAGTTGTTCAGAGACATTAAAAGATCTGCAAAGCCCCCTTTGCGGATCTGATAGTCATTTTACAAACTCAAAATTTTATGATTATTTGCCAAAAAACACCCTCTAATTTTTGGTTATTTCATAAATTTTCTCATATTCTAAACGTTTAAAATGAAATAGAACTCGTTAAATAACAAAGTAGATAAGCATATGGTGAAAATATATGCATAATGGAAACTCAGGGATATACATGAAGTACTCAAATATGTCTCACTATAACTTTGTCACGAACAAAGTGAACGTCTATTATCCTAACGTGTTTGAGTCGTTGATATTGAATGTATTTTGTTGAAAGGTAGACAACATTTGCATCGACGCAATAAACAATGCTGGCTTTAGTTGGAGAAGAGTAAAGTCGACAAACAAGTTTCTACAACATTACTCATCACCTATGAGTACTCAACTGCACTTGAACTTTATATAACACCCTAACATTACTCAGCAAATTAGTATCTAAGAAACCACAATAACCTTAAGTAGAACACCCTAACATTTGTAGTCGATAGTAAAGAATGCATGAATTTGTTTACCTTGATCAGTAGTACAATCAATATATCGGGGAATGCTTTTTAAGGGTCGAAATGGGCCTTGCTTGGGCCATGATTCCATGAATGTATAAGCAAATTTGTTGAACCATGTTCTGAGATCAGTTTATGCGTCTATTCAGTTATTTCGTTTGTTGATTCAATGGCCTTGTCAACATTGCTAAGTGCGTCCATATTTTTTATTTCCAGTGTTAGGAATGAGAAAGATTACAATTGTGTTTTTATAGCTTTCTTAAGGCCATAGAGTACTTTACAACCTAGAACACGTTTCCAGTACTTTACAACTCAATCACTAGTCTATGATGTGTGGAGTATTCACTAATGAGTTATTGATGACCTAGTACATTATTTTGCAACGAAACCACTAAGCTTCCAACACAACTTAAACGATCTATATAAATTTTGATACACCATGTGATTAAAAAAAGATATGGATTACAAACCCTAGAAGAAACAAAAAAACGTACTAAACCTATTACAAAAACACGGGAAAAAAATATAATCTACTGATTACATTTTTAGTTTAATCATATGCATACTTTTATAATATAAAAATTAAATAGCCTCTTTGGCATTTTAAGTCTTAAAACTTGCACATCGAATAGTCGTTGAGGTATTTTGATTGTTTGACTAGTACTGTTTCTTACGTTTAATAAGCAATTTAATTTATTTTGATGAAATAAAATAAAAGATTGTAATTACACTTTTAAATGTTTTATCCCTAGAAAACATGTATATCGCACTCGTTTTTTCCCATGCTTACGAATTTACCTTTTAACCCCTATGTTTTATCATTTTACATGCATAAACATAATCTGTCATACAATAAAAACAACTTATCAAATTATTACATTTCATCAACCAAACACTTTCTTTTAAACTAAATTTTAAAAACATTCATAAGTTGATAAGCAAATTCGACTAATACAAAATTACATCCCCTTTCATTCATATTGCTTGAAATAACTCTAACAACAGTGTAAAGGGGACTTAAATGTCTAAAACTTCATTACATCATATTACTGAATTTTGTTTAAATTATATCATTGATTCACCACAAACGTATCAGATAATCAATGAAATAAATAAACTGAGCTTCTAGTTTATAAAAATATCACAAGTCACAACAAACGAGTGAGAAAGACACATCTAGTAGTACTTTAGTAGTAGTAGTCACCTGAGATGAGATTATGAGAAAGAGATCATGCAAACTTGTGCTTCAATGCTCCTACTGGAATCTTGCTCAAAACCTTCACACAGAAAACTGCATACTGCTTCTTAATCTCAGCCTCTGCTTTCTCACCAAAAGCATCAACTTTGTCCTCATATTTATCATAAAGATAAGGCAATGTGTGCAGCAAAACAAAGCCTATGTTCATACTTCACAAAATTAGAAACTAAAAATCTTGATATTGAAAACTCAAAATTGAAAAATGATTATTTTCTTACATATGTAGAACAATGTCAAGAAGTTCCAGCAGCTTCCAATAATTGAGAGAACCCACAAGCCAGCAACCACCTGATGAAATAAAGATCAACTCATCAGTCATCAAACATTGATTTTTTTAAACATAAAAGGGAGTTGTGGAAGAAATGCATACACCAAGAAATTTCTTGAGGTCTTTTCCTGAAGCAATGCATCGGAGGACTTCAAAAGCTTTGTTGATTTCAACCCTGAGAGCAGAGGCGACACCAAGAACAATATCTTCTGGGAGGTTGACTTCTGGGAACTTTGGTGGAGACCTTTTGTCACAATCATGAAAGAAAATGATAGGTTGAGGAAGATAAAGATGGATTGAAGTACGAGACAATAAAATGAAATAAAAGTAAGGAGATTCATTTAATGATTGATTGATTACTTGTTGATGAAGCTTGCAGCATTGGACCACAGGAAAAGGACTGCTAGAGCTAAGATTAGAGTATGGCATACTAGTGTAAGTAAGTGATATTCAACCAACTCGAAAAGCACCCATATCAATGTGGCAAACCCGAGCACACCAGCAGAAACCTTCTTGTCCTTCCAGAGGAAGATATCAGCAGCTGTTGTGATGAAATTTAAAATGTGTAAGAAAGAGAAGGAACAAGAACACTATCAAATTTCTTTTAGGAACTAAATCTAGTTTTGTAAAGTTGAATAGATGATAAGCAAACAGTTCTAGCAACACAAGAGGGTAGCACATCAGTAAAGTCATTTGATATAAGAAAATCAATCGAAGTATCGTATATTTATGAAACTGATCATCATAGACAGATCGAGATCTTAATGTTTGAAATATTAAACTCCGGTGTAAGTAACTAACATACTACAATCGATAGATCGAAAGAGATTTAACATATAATGATAGACAAGCAATGGAGTCAACGGATGGTTCAGATATGAAATCGGAAACAATCATTGTAGATCTAGACCGGAGATACGATGCGAATCTGACGAACCTATGATTGCTTAATCAGATTAGAGATCCAGTTCATAATCAACCTAAACTATTCATCCATGTAAAACGAAAACGATTACTAATCGTGAACAAAAAGTTCAGTGATCTACAACAATAAATACGTTAACAGTAAGTATAGCAAGAAAAAATGTGCATACGTTTGCCGCCTCCTAAGAGCTTGTGAACAGGCTTCTCCCTCCCGAAGAGCCGATAAATCTTGTCCTTTACATCGGACACAGATGAACTCTTCTTGTCTTCATTGTCGGAATCCGAAGACGAAGAAGACGAAGAAGAATCGTCTTTGTGAAACGTCTCGGAGATCTTATCCTTGACAGATTCAACGAATGAATCCTCCTTCTCGTGTTCACCGGCGACGTTATCGGCCATATCTTGATTAACAGTTACCGGATCTGAGGGAGATTCGGCGCCGGAAATCAGGAGAAGATGTGCGACTTTTTGAAAAAAATTCGGATGTGTGAAGAGAAATAGAGAATTGAATAAGAATCTGTAGACTTAAGGAGGAGGTTCGTAACCGAACCTTAGGCTCGGAATTGCTTTTCACGAGAACCAATGAGAAGCAAGTGTGCGGCAAAAGTGGGGAGCGGGAATTCCGTTTAAATTCACGGCGTTAGGGTTGACGGTGGGATCTTATATTATGGGCTGAGACCCTTAATAGGCTTCATAATATGCTTTGGGCTCATTAACCAAACTTTCTTTTCTCATTTTTTGGAGTTAGGTCTTAGGAATTAGGAATGAGAGGTGTATAAATATTGAGACTATAACTAATCTATCTTTTCTGATTATTTTTCACTTAATAGTTAAAATTTTACAAATAGCTAAAAATAGTCATGCAAAAACGTAGTTTTAAAAAAACAACTGCTATTTCGTGGAAACCTATGGTTTCTAGGCTTTGTATAATTTATTTTTTTTATTTTTTGTCAAGAAGCCGTAGGTTTCTAAAATACCTACGGTATACTCTAGGTAAACTACGGTTTTCCAAAGAATAGTTTACTGGAAACCTACGGTTTTAAGAACTAAACTACGGTTTGGTGTTTTTTTTTATAGTTGACTACTATTTAGTATATGTGCACTACATTTTCATATGAAGCCCACGGTTACCTTTATTTATTTATCTTTTTTTTTTGTTTTTTTAACAAAAATTAACACAATGCTATGATATTTCATAGTGTAAAAGCTATTAAAAAATCGGGAATAATAGGCTTCATAAGAAACCTGTGCAACCAGTCAATTCACAAACTGTGCATTACCTGCTTGTACACCATAAGTTTCTTACGAAGCCTTCGACTTCCTTTTTTTCGTTTTTTCCAACTAAAATCAAACTCATGGTAGCAAATCTTGTACTAAATAAATAAAAACACGGTGAATCGGAGATATGCATGATGGTTGTTAGAAGCCTCCATTGACAAAAAGTATTTCCTCACTTTAAACATATAAAAATAACCTAAATGAAAATTTACAACTTTATATATTGTTGGTGGCTGATGGGTCTTGAAAAAATAATCGGGCTACGAAACAATAGTCCATTAGTATGAAAATAGTAGTCAGACTACCATTAACCGTAGTTACAATAGTCCATTAGTATGAAAACAGTAGTCAGACTACCATTGACCGTAGTCGACTAGTATTGACCATAGGTTCCTTTAAAAACATATGGTTTTAGTGGCAAAAATGGCTAATTTTAAATTTTTGCTAAAAAGTGAAAAGTCATTGGGCAAAATAGCTAGATTAGTAATTTTCTTATAAATCTTATATTTTAAACTAAATCGGTTCAACTTTTTTTAGATAAACAAAACCGTTTTGGGGAAATTCAGTTTGGAGAAAAAAAAAATCAATTATAAAGAACCACTAAAACCTATGTTTTCATCATTTTTGTCGGATTTGGTTTCGGTTTGAAAGATAACAAAAGTTTACATATAAAGGCCAAAAGCGGTCTTCAATAACCTCAAAAACATTGTATCAACAACAATTTAAAACTATAGTGGATGGAAATGATATTTTTCTTACTGTATAAAAAATTGTCTATATTAAGGTTTGAAAACCGGTTTGACAAAAATTGTATGCAAACCAGTTACATGTATAATATTCAAACTAGTACTAAATAGAAGATTCGATCTCAAACAGAATTGGTTTGCATAGATTTTTGTCTCTTTCGTACACCTCTAATTAAAACCATATAGTTCATTGATATACATCTATTATATCATCCTTACAAAAAAGGATGTGTTTTGTTTGCCTTTTTTATATGAATATACATATATGCATACATGGCACGAGAAGAGAAAGTGTTACCAATCGGTGCGTCTAAGTAGCATCGATGAAGAACATATGAGAGAATTTGGAATGTGTAAAATGCAGATTGAGGTATGAACTTCTCATCATAAGCAAAAGTTTGTGAATTTGAGAGTTGCTCGATGAATCATTAAAAGTAATTGACATCGAAATCTTCAATCTTGAGGTGAGATGGAATGAGGTTTTGGGTACGATATGAAGAGCAATTGCCAATCATCTTTCCCTTTCGAAATAGAAACAAAGAAAGGTGTGATATGCCAAACTTCATAACAAATACCCAACTGCCCCTTTATGCTTTGGTATATGCCTTTTTGTTAATAAGCTAAAAAAAAAGTGAAGCACATTCCCAAAGAATATGCTTTTAAATTGAGTTTCTAAATAGGCCGAGTTGGCTCGGTTTAAAAGTTTAAACCATAAATTAAATTTTTCATTGTCAGTTTTAGTTTTTGTAGTATGTTAAGGTCCATAATGAATCACTCCAATTATTCCATTACCTTGGTGGCGGAACCAGAAATTTTGATATGTAGCATAAATATTGTTAATATAATAATATATTATATGTAGTTATAATCTTTTTAGTTGGGATACAATAAAATAAAATATGTTTACAAATAATATTTTTTATATATATAAAACAATTTTTTGAGAGTACTGTATTACCTCCAAGCATCTCCTCTAGCTCCACCACTGTCATTAACTTAAGATAAATTTAATCAATCGTATCGAAACAAAATTAATACCTTAAGATAATGATCGAACCGGTTTAGAAAAAAAAAATGAACTAAATCGATTTGGTATTATGCTTAATTACAGAAACAACCCTTATACTTTTATGTTATATTCATAAACCATCTAGGCCTTTTTCTTTCTTTTGTTTCACTTTTTACCCTTATAACACAATTAACTTGCACTTGCAACATTTTTTTTTCGCTATTTACCCTTATAATCCATAACTTATTACCATTTCTTCATAATAGATAATCTTTTTTATTTTTTAGTTGCCATTTGCGGCCTTTAGCTTTTTTTCATCTTTTATCATTAAAAACTATATTTTTATAAATACACGTTGCAAAATCGGTATAACAATGGTACTTACCTTATTTTCTATCAACAAATACAATGGTACATACGTTTTATCAATAGAATTGTTAAACTCAATTAAAAAACGGATCGGACCCACGACAACGCATGGTGGGCAGAAAAGTAAATACAAATTGTAACTTACAGTGCTTCTCACAAACAAAACACACATAAGAACCCATAGCAGAGCACGGATTCAAATATTAGTTGCAAAAAATTAATAACTAGAACCTCAATTAACTTTTAGTTTGGATTTTATGCATAGCCAAAAAAAATGATTGATAAACTATTCTACCATAAATAGTATCATTTTGTTGTTACAGAGAGCCAAACATCATTTAGTTTTTTAGATTTCAAAGCACCCAAAAATATGCCAAGATGACCTCATTCAAACAAGATAATTTCATTGAATCCACCCAAAAGAGTCACTTAGTGGCCGTAGGAATTGAAATATTCCACATAATAACCAATATATGACCATGTATTAGCGACTAGCAACCACCTCACAAAAAACTATCAAATGATATATAGATTCAACTTGGTTATGACATGTATGACACATAATCAAATTGAAATCAAATCAACACCTCGATTAGAAAAATTGAATCTGGTTGGCAACCAATCAAGTAAAATTCTCCAATCAAATATGTTAAGTTGTTCTAAAATGTAAAATTCTCCACTCAAGAATGTTAAGTTTTTCTAGGATGAATATGTTTCACCTTGTAGATAGGTTGTCTACATCAAGTGTAAGATCAATAATTTCTAGTACAACTCATCGTGAACTCTCTGAAATAACCTAAATCCAACTCTGCTTATTTGTATCGGTCGAAGGAACAAACAACTAAAGAAGTTGTATTAAGGCATAGTTGAATTTTGCAACCATACATCCCACTTTTCTCTAGCCTTACTAAAGACAAACGAAATGTAAGAAAACGTAACAATGTTATAGAAAATGTAATGCTTCCAATACTTGGACTCACAAAAAAGCAACACATTCCGCTAAGTCCAAAGAATCCAAATGACTATGGAGAAAAATTGCATCCAATATCACATGTCCCGTATGAGCAGGAGGACGACTCTCAAACCAGTGATCCATATCCTCAGCGTCATCAAACTTAGGGACACCTATGTCCACCCAAACGGCTACTCGATTCCACACCTCCCTCACCATTTAAAGAATATGTGGTTAGAATATGTGGGGACCTCTCTACAAACTGGGCACCATATATCACGTCGCGGGCCAAAGTACATTGCCCTCTACTTACGAAGAAGAGTCTCATTTGAATCCTCGTCATCTTTAACTGAATTGTGGTGATCACTGTGCCACATTAACTGCTTGACACTAGTTCTTTACTTGATTCCATTCCAGTTTTGGGGATAACTTTTCCTCCAAATTCTAACGCGCGTAACTTCTTCGTTTCTAACCTATTTTCTGACCTTTATATCCACACGAAGGTGGGAACATAAGCTACAACTTTTTTAAGTCAATTCTCACTAACTTGATACAAGTCTTAATCTATTAAGTCACAAACTTGACCTAAAAAGCATAAAAATACCCATTTTACCCATTTGGTCAAAATGCATCTTCTCATGTATTCTTTCTCTTGAACTTACTCATCAAATCTCATCTCAGTCACTTAAGCCTATCTTGGCCATTTTCATGAAGTCACGACTTCGTAAATATTCTAATTTCTCATAAATGACCATTTTGTCCTTTTGGTCTATATTTGACTAAAATTCAAATTTTTCCAAATTTCGGGTTCTTAAAATCCAAATCAATATAGTTCAATATAAATGATATATCTTGAACCATGTTTATTTGAAACTCTTTACCTTTCAACTTATGCTAATTAATTGTTTGGTTAATTGAAATGTTTGCCTATATAAGAAGATTATTGAATGATTGGTTGCTTTACATGTGGTGTTGATTTATTGGATTGTGGTTTGAATTTAAATTTGACGCCGATTATAAAAGAAGGTGTAGTGTTAATTATATCTTTTTGATTCCCAGGATTTACGCAAGAACCCTAACCCTACTTTTCAATCAAATTCAAAATGTTTCTTTCAAATCGTCATGTGTACTGCCAACACAGTTGTTGATCAATTCAATATAACTGAAGACGAAGTTTCCATGCCCAACATGAAGGTTCAATCTAATAATGTCTGGTTTAAGCTGTTGATCAAATATTACCTTGAAGTGTATGAATGATTCATGCCTCGCACACGCTTTGACTGCTTCCTTTACCATTTCAATGAAGTGGTTACTATTTGTTGGTTCTACAGCCATGTACAACAAGTCGGTGGAGATCATAACATTCCAGATGGAATCACAAAAGAATAAGAGATTGAACAAGAAGCAATTCACCCAAATTCTTAAATTGTCATCATAAGGCCAGTTTGAGGTTCCTTCAAATGAACTAGTACTCTAAATGTTCAATGAGATGGGTTGTCTACCTCCAATTTCACTTGTGAGTAACTTCAAGAAGTCCAGTATTCTAGGGTATGGAATTTTTTCTTTGGAATCACCCTTTGTTGTTTGACTGGAAAGAGTTTTGGTCTCGACAAAGCAACTATACAATTCTATTCAGCTATGGCTAGTCTCTATTATGGTATGAGTGTTGACTATGCTTTGTTGTTATGGGTTGAGTTTGCTTCGTCAGTCAAGCACTCAAAGAAGATGATTGAGATATCCAATGCTCAATTCTAGAGTCTTATCTTACATGAAGTTTACAGCTAAGCATGTATTCAAGTACCTGAAGATGTCGAGGTTGCTCAATTCTCACATCTTCACATTCCAAAGTCTTCTATTGATGATCTAGTTATTTTTTCTGTTGTTGGACGAATTCCTTAAGCCACACTCAATTTGGTGTCTCCAACAAATTCGCTATTGGTACAATATAAAGTCCATGGATTCTACTTCTTTTGGTGTTATATGAAAGAATGTGACCTATAAAGCCACAAAAGGAACATCCACAAATTCGCAAGTTGGAAAGAAGAAATCAAAATCGAATACTAAAGTTGTTGAGAAAGTTTCTTCAGTGAAAAATATTCCTGAGAAGTCTAGGAAAGGTGGTTCTAAGAAGGTTGCGAAAGATGCAACTGAGAAGTCAGATGCAGGTGGTTTTGAGAAAGAATCTATTTCTCGTACTTTTCAAGTTGTCATGAATGAGCCTATCACCACCTTATTTTCTTCTCAGTCGACACAACCAGAGATACAAACTAATGAAAATGAGGACAAGGACCGAATTGTTGGATTTGTTGAGTTGGAGTTTGATCCTGCAAAAGAGGATGTAGATGATAACACAATTATGTCATGGAAGCAATACAATATTTTAAATTCTAAACTCAGCACCATTCTTCAATTTCTCAATGATAATGTTGGGAAATCCACTATGAGTGGAGAATATGCGACAACCCGAAATTTCTATCTAGTAAAGCCAATCAATCCAATCAAATGCTAGACTTGTTTCTGCTATCTTTTAGCATTGTTAAGGGTCTCTTGGAGTGATCTGAGCCTAGTACACTTAAGAACTGTGTGTAAGGACATGTTAGCTAAAGTTCATTGAGTTGCAATAGTGCCGGAAACTCCATTAAAAGGAGTTTACGACTGCAAACTAGAGTTTACGACCGTAAACTCTTCGCAGTCGTGAACCCCTGACCTTATGTATCAATTTCCTTCATTTCTTCATCATTCTTCACATCTTCAAGGTTGAAACTCATTTCTCTCTCAAGTATCATCAAGAACACTTCCATTTCTCTTCAATATTGTAGGTGATTCCTCCATTGTTTCTTGATATCTTTCTTGATCTTGTTAAAACTTTTGATTTCATCCATGAATTCAACTCTTGTGGGTTAGATCTTCAAATCATCATCCTTTTCACCAACAACGCATGCTTGTTCTTGGTGGTCGTGAACACCCCAAGGGCTTCAAAAATCGTGAGTATCTCTTCTATCATCTTGCATCCATTAGAAACACTTACATTCCAGCCTAGAATCAAACATATTTATCATGATCTTCAAGAGTCACAGTCGTGAACCCTTCATGTGGCCATGAACCCTTCATAGGATCATGGTGGCTGTGAACCCCTCATCCATGGCCGTAAACCCTCCTTAGCCCAAGCTTGGGACATGAACACTTTAAGTGTTCTTGGACGTAAACACACCCATAGCTGTAAACACTTATAAGTGTGGCCGTATGTCACAACTAGCATTTTTGCTAGGAAATTCTACTCTCGTATAATCATTCAATCGGTATAATATCTGGTACCTCAAGCAAATATCATACTCTATTCTCATTCAAATACATCTCTCATGTTCAACAAAGAGTTTGAAACTCTAAAAATTTCGATTCAAGTTCCTTATGAACTAGAATTCTCTTATTGGACTTAATGGACCCATAAACTTTCAACTTGACTACCTTGGGCCTAAAATGATCCATCTTATTTCTAATGGGCCTTATTGGGCCATAATAACTCCAATTAACCTTAATGGACTATAGAACCCATTCTTTTATACTATTGGGCTGTGAGATACCCTAAAGGCCCAATGGGCCGAAAGATGTTATGATTAGGCTCCAAAAATCCTAACTAAAGTTTTATGGGCTCAAGCTATTCCAATTCCTATCTTCTTGGCCCAAAATTTCGGCCCAACACCATTTAACAAAAAAAATGGAAAAGAACAAGATGAAATAGGGGTTGACTTTTGGATGTGCCACCTCAATATTGCATGGTGGTCATTCATGCCAAATACCCACCATATACCAAGGAAATTACATACATAAAAATCCCACCACTTCCATATTTTCCTCCTTTTTCTCTCTTCTCTCTAAATCTCGTCCAAAGGCCTCTTTCTTCACCATCTCTTTTTCCTTTCAAACACATTCAAGACTCTTTCAAGAACTCCTCTCTACCCCTCTAAATTTTCGAGATTTATGGGAAGTTGATCATCACCTAGATCATCATCTTTGGTAAGTATTGTTTAGATCTATGATTTAGCTTTTGATCTATTCTAATATCTCCTCTTATATCCATATATTTGTGGATTATGTTCTTAGAACCATCTAAGTTCAAGATCTACTCAAGAAAGTTTGTTAGGATTAAAAACCTTCTTCCATTTCTTCATCAAAACCGATCCATCACCCCAAGGTGAGTTCATACCCCCTTGGTTTCTGTTTTCACTTGTTTTTGGGGGGAGAATACAAGTCATATGTGTAGATCTATGTATATATGCATGATTATGTGTGTTTTCTTGAAACATTTGGTGATTATGTGTTGATTTCTTCACTAATCTAAAAATATGTTAAGAAACTTGAAGTGTATCACTAGGATCTTCATATGAATCATGAGAAAAGTATGTTTTATCACATATAATACATTTAAACTTGTAGATCTGGGATTTGTACACTTTATGTAGCAAAAATAAGTGTTGTGTTCAAAGATCTATAAGCTAAACTCACAAAACAACCCTTGACAGGAAAGTTTTGGTTTAATCTCGGACTGTTTTGATCATCCAAATGGAAGTATTTTTCAAAACTGTTTTACATGGATAAAGTTCAGGTTTATACCTTTAAAACGACTACTCGCACGTTTCACACGATTTTTCTACAATTTTTGGTGAATTTTACAAAACTGCCTATCATATTTGAAATAATTTCTGACCAACCTGTGAAGATGAGCAATTTCACACTTCTTAGAAGCCATTAAAAATTATGAGAAAATTTTGTGAACAAAGTAGACAATATTTCTAAACTTTGAGAGTTTACGGATCCAAATTTCGACTTACGATGATTTTTTCTACAAATTTTCAAACAACTAGATCGGAAAAGCTCAAAAATCAGAAAACGTGTATTTCACAAAAATCAAGCCGAGAATGCTATTTTTGACAAAAAGGGGGTTTTAAAATGCTATTTTTACTACAAAATAGTTATCAAAACAAGATTTGAACAAAATGGAGACTAAAGTGTTATTCTTACAAAAATTGGGCCTTAATCCTAAATTTTTGGCTTATTGGGCCAAGAACGTCTTTTTAGAAAAAGGAGGGTCGTGAAAAGGTAAAAATCTTACTTTTAAACAAATAAATCCCTTAAAACAAAACATAAGATCCATGACTACCGGCGAAACGTAATAACAAATACACCTTCAACACCAATATCGTTACCAAACGATTTGATTCGGTCTCGAATCAATTACAAAACAAAAATCAATAAACATTAGTACTTCAATAAACACGCGAAATCTACAAGGAGTCAATATTCAATCTTTGGGCTTGAAAGTTTCAAATCGTGCTTGTTGGGCCTAGCTAGCCCAATAACATGATCTTTAGGCCCGAAGGGAATGCGCTTACATGTTAATGGGCCTTCTATGACCTAATTCCATGTAAAAGGACTTTCAATAACTCTATTGTGTTGTTGGCCCCAAGGGCCCATTGGTACTGCTAGCGAAGTCGAGAGGTCAATTGCGAGTCGGGCCAAGTGCCTTTCGCATTCCCGATAGTCTTGAACAACTTATGGAACAAAGGAGGGCTTCGTACCCTCCTTTCTCCTCGGTTGTGGGGCTATGAGAAGTCAGGGTGGTTGGATTAAGTGAGTCTTACGGACGACGCCTAAAGGATCATTTGTAATTGGTAGTTATAACCTAGTCATTTTCATTAATGTGTGATTATAACAAATCACACCCCATAATTAATCCAATGTCACCTGGAAATATCGAGTAGATAGATTTGTGGCGTAAATCAAGAGAAGTCAGGGTGGTTGGATTAAGTGAGTAGTACGAACGACGCCTAAAGGATTGTTTGTATTTGGTAGTTATAAACTAGTCATTTTCATTAATGCGTGATTATAACAACTCACAACCCGTAATTAATCCAATGTCACCTGGGTAATCATAAACAATCGTCGTATCGGTATAACAATAAATAAATAAGACACGTAATTTTATGTATTGGGAAAACATCGGGTTTTCCCGGGGAGTTCAACACTTTTACCTATGTGATGTGTACAAAGTTCAACAATTATACATGTTTACAAAAATCGACAAGTATACTTATGGATCTTCACACTTTTTATAAACAATACTATTTTCAGAAAATATCAGATTTTCTGGTGGTTTTCAAAGTTATACAAAACATTTTCACAAACATGCTTATGAACTCACCAACATTTTTATGTTGACCGCTTTCAAAATAACTTGTATTCTCATGTAACAGATAAACTGAAGAATAAGTACCAAGTGATGTCATGGTGTTTTGCTTAGATTCACTATCGAATGGTTTATGTTATGAAATTGTAACGTCTAAAACAATGTACTGAATGTAAACGATATCAATTGTAATATTTCAATGCATGGTGATGAATTCTGTTATGATTCATGTATATTCATTGTGATGGTATTCAATTTGAGTCACAAGAGCCCTCGGACGTTTCCGCCGTCCGGTTCGGGGGTGTGATAGGTTGGTATCAGAACTCTGTTTATAGTGAACTAGCATATCTAACCACACATTGATATGCAACTATAAACCAAAAGAGGGACTTACATAACTCTAAACAAAACAAGTAAAACATAACAATAAAAACACCCTTGCTTGTATTAGGAAAAAGAACATAATACCAAACCAAACAAGATAAGGCTAGTATCTCGGTTAAGCCAGGACTGTTCTTAGTTGTATCAAGGAATGGATGTAGCCTGATCAACTACATTCCCTCCAAGGTACAACCATCACATGTCTTGAAGAAATCGTGATAGCTAGGGAATCTAAAAACATACCCCTTAATCTCCAAGAAGGGAACCTCAACTAAATATATGCAATAGTCGTAGAGTTATAGGAGTAATTGGTATGCTATTTGTTTCTAGTATTCATAGCCCTTCGTGCAATACGCTATAGATGAGTATCATTAGCCAGGAAACCCTATCTCCCTAGTCAAGGAATAGCAGGGTGGCTAGACTCAGAGGAAGAACCAGAGGAGGAACACGAAGTAGAACTTGCAGATGAACCCGCCGAGTCAATAGTGGACCACGAAGAGGAAGAGCCAGAGGGCAATGATGATGATGATGATGATTCAGATACAAAATCCGATGACATCAATCCTCCATGTAAAGCCAGAGTACCGACATATCGTGTGGGCCCCAGTGGCCCCATACCCCTTTAGGCACACAATATTTGGAGATAGAGTCACCAGTAAGGGATACGACCACACTAGGGTAGGAACTGAGGTCTCTCCGACCATTAGCCATAGAGGACTAGCTGACCGGGCCCTCCCAGTCATGGTCCGGCGCACTCGAGGTATTGATAACCAAGCTCAGGACACCCCTAAATGAACGGAACAAATATGGTTTGCTATTGAGAGAGATGAGAGGCAAACACAGGAAGTGAATGGAGACTCCCGAGCGAGACGGATAGCTTGGGAAGTGCGACTTCGAGATACCGAACAACAAGTAGCTCGTCTCCGAGGTGCATCCACTTCATC